AGGGAGACTTTTGATGACTGCTTCTATTTCCTTAGGGCTTATAGATCTATTTAAATTGTTTATCTGGTCTTGATTTAATTTTGGTATGTGGTACCTATCCAGAAAAATGTCCATTTCTTTTAGATTTTCCAATTTTGTGGAGTACAGCTTTTCGAAGTATGACTGAATGATTCTCTGGATTTTCTCAGTGTCTGTTGTTATGTCCCCCTTTTCATTTCTGATTTTATTAATTTGGATGTTCTCTCTCTGCCTTTTGATAAGTTTGGATAAGGGTTTGTCTATCTTGTTAATTTTCTCAAAAAAAAAAAAACCCAAAAAACAAAAAAACAAAAACAAAAAAAACCCAACCCAGCTCTTTGTTCCATTGATTCTTTGTATTGTTTTCTTTGTTTCTATTCTATTGATATCAGCCATCAATTTGGTTATTTTTCTGGCGTCTACTCTTCTGGGGTGAGTTTTCAGCACTTAGGTTGGTGTGATCCTGAGCAAATGAATCTCTCTGCAATTCAGTGTCCTCTCCTGCAGAGAATGGACCGTAACAGTGTCAACCTCTTAAGTGTATTGTGTTCAATGTGGTAATGCCGGTAAGTTGCTTCACACGTTGCCTGGTACCCGAAGCACCCGGTCATTAGCTGGCACTGGAAGATGGGGAGCTGCTGCCAGAACTTGCCTTTTGTCTCTGAGTAGAAGAAAGAACCCCACAAAGAACCTCAGGGTATCTAACTTCTGAGAGAGGTCAAGACTGATCATAAAGAAGAATTTCAAATTCAGCGAGTAATGACTTCAGTCAATCCAAAGTGTTCATGACATCACTTTGATTTCCATTTTCGCATGTTATTGAGAGAACAAAGTAAATTTAACATTGGTATCCACATTAAAAAAAAAAATTCACTTCTGTACTTGTTAGTTCTCCTGGGTGTGAAGGCGAGAGATTCCATTTCTAGGTCAGCGTCTCTTCACTTCACGTGGTCCTGGAGCGTGTGCTCCACACACATTGGCCTGTGCTGATGAAACAACGGTGAGTCAAGCCGTTCAGCCCTGGAAGGGCGCTGCCCCATGACTACTAAGGCGTGTGAAGGATAAGGGAAACCCTAGTCTCTAGGGAGATCCGGGAGTTAGCGATGTGTGCGAGCCTCCTTAAACTGAATGTCAATTTCCAAACATAGCTTCCTTTAACGAAATGTGGTAAGCTGCTGGGTGGCCCGGTCCTTTGATGTGGCATTAGGAGCTTCAGTGGTATTTGGTATTTGGTATTGTGGTATTTGGAGCTTCAGTCTAGTCTCTGTGCTGAGTTCTCTCGATGATTCTTGAGGTGGGCAGTAGCCTGGGATACACACGTTTCTGCTTTACCGGGTGGCGGGGGAGAACACAGCTGAAAGTCTCATTGCAGTGTTTACTATAAAGCGACAGTAATCACGACCACAGATTAGTACGAGGACAGAAAAATACAGCAACGGGTTAAATATGGAGCCTCCAGACAGTCCCAGACACAAGTGGAAGTTTGTTTGGGGACGAAGATGTTAATACACAGCAGTGGGGGAAACAGGTCTTTAAATAAATGGGTCCACTGATTATACACACGGAGAAAGAATCTTGACCGCTGATACCAACCTAAAACCACATGAACTATCCAAGTAAACACGAAGGTGATGTGCAGGGAGGGTTTCCTTAGGGTTCTGATAGGAAGGATCTCTTAGCTGGGAATAGTGGCGCTTGCCTACAGGTCCAGCATTGAGTCGGAGGCCAGCATGGGCTACACACATAGAGAATTCAAGGTCTAGTTTTCAAATGGAAATTTGCCAGTAGAGCTCTAACTAGAGTCAGATGAGGCAATCAGGAAGATAACATTAGACTCCTGGCTCCACCGTTCAGTCTCTTCTCTGACACTACCCTTTAAAACCGGGCACCTACATCCACCACAATCGTTGCAAAGCAAATGAAAACCCGCAGCTGCTCCTCTTCCACGACTCAGTTCAAGAGTCCCCGAGAACGCTGCATGGGTGCCCCCATAATTATGTTGGAACCCTTGCTGTACTGTCTTCACATGGGTAGTTTTGAGGTTTTATTTTTCCCGTTGAGACACATAGAGACACTTAGTAGGAGGCTGGATTAACAGTTGAGCAAGCCAGCTTTTGGCATGAGCTGCATGAACTATGGCCAACATTGGTTCAAATGTGGCCAATCCAATCTATAATCTTGGTAGCAGTGTACGAGGGTATTGCGGTTCCACATCCTTGCCAATGTTTAGTAATGCCCGTTTTTATTTGGAAAAGCTATCTTATTATTATTGTAATTAGTAGTTATATACATAACAATGGTGTTTAGTGAGGGTTTTTTTCATCTGTATTATCCATTCAGGTACACTTAGAGTTTTCAGATAAACTTATTTTTTTTTCTGCACATTTTCTATTAGTTTTGTCACTCTTTGGGTCTCTCTATGTATTTGATAATGATATTTTGTCGGTTCTTTTTTATTTTTCTGAAGTTTCTTTGGCTACTTGAGTCTCTGTACTTTTGCATCTCCACAAAGCTTTTAGATATACTTATATTCCCACCACAAACCTGATGTGATCTTTTTCACTTAGTCCATAGATTAAAACTGGGAGTAATTGAAATATTCACAACATTTAGTTTTCAGATGTATGTATATGATAATTCCTTCCATTTACTAGGTTTTTGTTAGTACTTATCAATAAAATTTATCATTTTATTCCTTCTCATACTTTTAAGTTGAAGTGTAGAAGTAAAGTAAAAATTATTTTCTTTCTAGAAATACTATTATTAAACGCATTAGTACCAGTCTAATTTAGACTATTATGAATTTTATATGAAAACAGCTATATCATTCAATAATAACAACTGTGTTCTCCCAGTACTGCAATATTTTCCCATGATGCTCTATATCTCTTAGTCTTTATCTTCATTTTCTCTTATTATACTTGGTAATATTGTTGACCACTTTCTAGTTCACTGAGTTTTATTTAGCTATATCTAATCTGGAGTTAAACCTACTCATTGTAATTTTAATTCCAATTACTACAATTTTCTTCTTAGAAGTTTCATTTTCAAGTTTGCTGGTTACCTCATCCTAATTTTCGTATTTCTTAAAAATATTTTCAACCTTGATTTTCACAGCTCAAACAGAACAGACTCTTAAAAATTATGTTTGGTAATGCATTTATTGAACATATTTTTTAAAGTCTGATTATAATGCTTTTTTTTTTTATGTTGTATCTGCTCTCAGTTGGGTAGAAACAAGCCTGGTATTATTCCAAGTAAGAACCTGCTGTATGCATTATAAAGACTGTTTGTTAGGCTATTTTGCCGTATAATTTCAGGAAATGGGTTCTGTCCTTTCCAAGGGGTCATAAATTACATCTAGGTCCAAGTGAAAATTATCCCGCTAAAATGTGTGGCTGTCAGCACAGGGGAGGATTCATTTTTATATTGGGTTCTGCTCCATAATTACCACAATGCCCTATTTTCCAAACGAAGCCAGTCCAAGGAGGTTTTATCAGGGGAAGGCAGAGTGGTCATTCCCTCCATATCATTCAACCACTTCTGGAACACCCCCGAAACACCTGCATACAAATGAAATCAATGCAAGCTGAGACGTGTGTGTGTGTGTGTGTGTGTGTGTGTGTGTGTGTGTGTGTGTGTGTGTGTGTGAAGTTTTCCACTCAGAGAAAATAACTCTCATTGGCCTGGGAACATATTAATGAATTGGCCCTGGATTTTAATGCTGTTCTGCCATGTTTATTACCAGGTTGAACTGAAGTTTAATGAAGACCTGCTAATATGTTCCCAAAAGTGAGAAGAAAATTCAGTTTTAAGCATGCATGAAAATGAAAAGAATTTTACTGTGAGTAACAGTGCACCTACCGCCTAGATTCCACACCTACTGTTTCAGAAAGCTACCGTACAGCCCTCTGGTGTGAATAACGGTGCGACTACCGCCTAGATTCTGCACCTACTGCTTTAGAAAAGCTACTGTGCAGCCCTCTGCTGCATCCAGCTCTTCCTTTGCACTCGCAGACCCACCTTCTTTACGATGCATTTCCAAGCTTATTGAAGACATTAATACATTTTACCTCTAAGTAATTCAGTAGGCATATCATTAAACAGAGTTCAATATTTATTTGGTTCCTTCTTGTGATGAATTTTATGTTTATTTTGTGGCATTCACAAACCATGAAAGTGACAGTTAGTGATTTTTTTTTCTTTGTCTTTGCAGCAGGATCTCTCTATGTGACCCCAGCTAGTCTGGAATTTAATATGTAGTCCAGGCTGGACTTGAACTCATGATCCTTGAGCCTTAGTTTCCTTACAGACTGGCCCTATCAAGTTCAGTTTTCATGTGTGCCGGTTAACACCCCAGCGTGCATTTAAGGAAGAGCATAGCCACAGCTTGGAAACCCTCCAAACCCTTCTCAGTCATTTCCCGGGAGCCCCCAGAGACAAGCAAGCTTCTTGCCCCTCCCAAAAACTTGTACAAATGGATTCATACTATATAAATTCCTTTAAGAAAATATTTTACTTTGGAATAATTACAGATTCTAAGAAGGAAAAAATAACATGGAGAAATTCAGTGAGCAGATAGGGTGAGATTATCCCAATAAATCCGCTGTAAAGTAAGTCTTGGTAATCTACGTCTTTCTAAAACCAGTATTTGGCTCTATCATTAAAATAAAGCCATCTGCTGGGTGGTGGTGGTGCACACCTTTAATCCTAGCACTTGTCAGGTAGAGAAAGGAGGTTCTCTGTAAGTTTAAGACCCACATAGTCTAAAGAGTGAGTTCCAGGACAGGTGCCAAAGCTACAGAGAAACCAATCTCGAAAAACCATATAT